CTGTGCACCGGGGTCACGCCGTCAAAATGACTCTTTTTATTACAGTTCATAAACAGCGACTCCCCCGGCGGCCCCGGGAAATTTCACATAAACTTTGATCAAACAGACGTTAGCCTCCCTGGTCCTCAACCACCTCTCTCCATGCGCGAAAATAGCTCCGCTCAATCACATGCAGAGACAACACGCCGAAAACAGTGCAAATAGCAAGGCAGTCACTGATATATCAAGTCATTATTGACCAGAACACCAGGGGAATAGATCTCATATAAAAACAATAAGTTACTCTTTGCCTTTTTTCCCCCCCTCTCCTCTACCTTCCCCTCTTTTAGCGGGGGCGGAAATGTAAGGCGATGCACTGGCAGTAAACTTTGTGGCTTAAAATTAATAGCTTCGAGGGGAGCTCAGGTGAGCGATCCAAAGTGATAAAAGCATCCAAAATAAAAACCAGCAGTTGATTTAACTGTGTGTACGTAGACGCTGGAAGCGGAACAATAGGTTCTTCATGGCTTTCTCTCGCTCCGTCATCCCCTCCATCTGGTTTAGTGGAGCTGTCAGACCAGTTTTTCTCAGCGTCGAGGGCTCGCAGTGCTCCCTTGTTGGTAATCGTGGTCGAGGCTCGCTGTAATGGAGATGAGCAGCAGGAAAGCAGCGCGGTGTTTTGTTGTTTGGTTGGGTTTTCAGGGTAGAGCTGCCACAGCTTCTCTTGACTGTAGCTCAAAATCCCCTAAAAAAAGGTCAAAGGTCAGTTAAGGTTCACTTAATAAGCAGGATGGCCTGTACGAGTGGTTTTCCTAATGAAATAATCACCCGATGCTCCATATTCAAAACTTCATACATGTTTACTGACTGGGAATGAACAAAAAACATCCAACAACAACCTTTTTTTTTTATTTTGTTAAATCCTTCAAATGATTATTGTGTCTGATTTTACTTTGAGATATTGGGCGGTGGGTAAATTTGTAATTTCTTCATTATAAAAGAGAAAATTGGCTCCCAGACGTGACTGAAATTAAAAGACTAAACTGCTTTGACATCCAATCTGGAAGCATCAACACGGTTTTAAGGTATGAATTGTTTCGGGGGCGGAGGTGAATAAAATGATTCATCTATATTTTGAAAAAAGTCACACCTTCTCTGGAAATTAATACAAATTTCAGTTTGAGGATACTGAGGGTTTCTTTGTTGATAAAAATAACTGACTGTATCCTCTGCACATTAGATCCTGCTCCAGCACATAAAAAGAAACGTATACAGATATACACTGACGTCCAAAATAGATTGTATGTCATGTTTAATAAATTAAATCATTTTTAAATGTTATAATCCCAGTATATATAAAACATAATGTATGATTATTGTAGGCATTTACATGATTATTCAACATTTGAGCAGGTTTGGATTAAATATCTTGCTCAGTTTATTAGGACTCTTGCCTGCCGACACTTTTTGAATGAACAGACCACCCTACTTGTTACTCTTCCACCACATGACTTGTGTCACAGCCAACTTCTATTTTCACGCATTTAAAGTCTCTTCTTTCTAAAATAGTAAACTACTTAATTTTGGAGGCTAAGCATCAAAGTGGCAGAGTCTCCCTCCTCTGCTGCACATCCAGCTGGTCCTTCTACAGTCGCACAGTGGTGTGTGTGTGTGTGTGTCACTTGTCTATAGGAGTCTGAGCAGAACATGATGCAGTTAAGGTATAGTTACTCCTCTGTATTGTTTGTGCGTGCGTCTCCTCACCACACTGTACCCGCTCTGCCTGGGTCCTCATATCAGCCGGTCTATCTTCCCCACCCCCCGCTGACTCCTCACCTTTCTCTCCGCCGCTTCTTATGACTCAACCTCCCCTTTCTTTAATACTGCGTTAGCCGCACCAGTTACTCTATCTCTCTGAGCTCCCCCACTCCTTTGCCTCTCCCCCCTTGCTTCCCCTCGCTGCTAATCCTCTCCCAGGCCTAATTGAAGGGGACAGCAGCTCCGCAGGGTCAGACGCCGACGTAGCGTTAAAATGGAGAGCCCGGGTACCGAGTGACACCGTCTCTCCATCTTGATCAGCTTGCCACACATACACACACACACA